TCAGAAAACATTTCTTCATTGATTAAAGAGTTAAACTCTAAATGTGAGTTTTTTTATTTCTTATTTGAGTAAAACCTTGGATGTGAAAACAGCTTCATGATTCGTTTCTGACTGGTCAATCGGGCAGTGCAACGCCTCCTTCCCCAAAAGGATCAAGGTGTCACTTCCCGTTGAAATCAGAACCAACTGGGCCAAACTAGTTCTGTCCCAGCTGGTACTGGACCTCGGTTCTGAAAACAGAGAGAACTCAGAAATTACTAAACTAATATTTTTAAAGTTTATTTATTCAGCTCAGATTATTTCCAGGACCTCCAGTTTCTGGTTTATTTAGCTGTAGTTTGTAGTTAGAGAGGCTATCTTTAATTTCATCAACTCTTATTTTGTGTTTTTAATCATTTAAATAGTAACTAACTGTTATAAAATGTTATTAAATTATAAGGTTCATCAGTTCCTGGATCGTCTTCTAACAACAGTTTTTATTAAACTATTTTTGATTTATGCCAAATTATTCTCAATCCTCAGGACTGAATTTTGACACATTACAGCTGCAGTAAAAAAAACATTTAGCAATGAAACTAAACATGCAGAGAAAACCTGCAGGCTGTTGCCATGGTAACTAGAACTGGACCATTTCTCCTCTTCCTCCTGATTGGCCGTCTGATTCCAGCTCCATCTGATCCAGTAGAACAAACCTGCAAAGCTCATTCTGAACAGGCATTCAGTTGGAGAACTGTTCTTCCTCAGCTTGATTCTTTCTGAATCAAATTGAACTGAAAATAACTCAGGTTTGTAGATTCAAATATTTAATATTTTCACATTTCAAACATTCCTTCTCAGTTGAAATGGAAACTTTTGGTTTAAATGTTTGATTAATTCTGCTGTGTTGGTGTGAAATCAGCACTCTGACTTTGCAGGAAAAGTTCACTCAGTTTATATTTAACAAAAACAGAATCAGCATCTGATGAGTAACGAGCTGATAGCGGCAGCTGGAGCCGAACCCACCGGCCACCTTTCTACTTCCTGCGAGCCTCTACTGTCCTCTCTGTCCCACAGCACCACCTGCAGGCCGGGAGAGGGTCTGCAGGATCAATTGGCAATCATCATCTGTAATCTGTCCGGAAACTCAGCAAACAGAAAATCCTCCAAAACCCGACAGAGAGTAATTTGGTGGAAATCTGTGAAAAACATTTCAGATAAAAACACAAACACCAGGATCAAATCAACAGTTCTCATTTATTTCACTGTAATTGAATTATTTCCCTCAGATGGTTGTTTAGTGGCTTTTAAAATCAGATCACAGGTTTGATTCCAGTTCAGCTTAAAGAGGTTTTTAAAGATTTTTGTTCACATCTGATGTCCCAGATTTTAAAAACCGACGGTGCAGAGCAGACTCTAGCATCGCCTCAGCTTCAGTCACTTGGTACCGAATAAAATCAGACAAGAAAACCGTCTAAAGTGCAGAAATGAGAACTTTTCCGCCAGAAGAGAGCACATGTAGAGGAGCAGGGCAGAAATACAGGCAACATTGTCTGAGGACGCATGGAGGAGGAATGGAGGCTCAGAGGGGCCAAAAACTGATTGTGGAGGAGGTATGGTGAAACAGGAGGATCGAAAACTGAATGAAGAAAACGGAATGGTTAAGAACCTACATTTGGAGGCTCTACGAAGGCTCAGAAGAACTCCAAATGGAACATGGAGGATGTATGGAGGCTCAGAAAGGCCAAGAGTTACATGTTAAGTAGGTAAGGAGACCCAGGATGGTCAAAAATTAAATGTGGAGGAAGTACAAAGACTTGGGATGGTCAGACACTATGTGGTCATGCAGTACCAGACCTCAGGTCACAGACACTCAGGCTGGTAAAAAACTGAATGTCTGAGCTGTATGGGAGCTTCCAAATGCCAAAAACTTGGTAATGTGGCAATATGGAGACCAAGGACAGACAGAAACTGGGTGTGACGTTCAGAGACCCCGCACTGCCAGAATCAGACGATCCAAAAGGACGTATTTAAGGTATATGGAAGTCCTGCATGCCAAGACATTTTGTGGAGGCCTTAGAGGTTCTGGACTGGCAGCAGACTGTGAATAAGTATCAAGGCCGTAAGGAGACAGGAAAGAGCCAAGCAGCGTAGAAAAAACACGCTGGTCAGATTTTGGTCTTCATGTTTAAAAGCTTGTTAAGGTCTCCATGTAATCAGCCAATCAGAGCTTTCTGTGAGGGGGCGGAGCTCCAACCCGTCCAGCTGCCCTGGGTTCTTTGTGCTTTCTCAGGTCTGAGCAGGACCTTCTCGGTTCTGGTCAGACCTGCTAGAGATTGTCAGGACTGGTGCTGGTGCGGTTCTGACTGGGACTGGGTTCAGGGGGTCAGTGACCTTCAACCCCTGCGTCCTGATGCTGAGGACGGTAAAAATGAGGACAGGTTGTGAGATTGTCAGCGATTCTGTAGAAAAATAGAAGGAGGGAATAAAAAAGAGGAATGAAGAGCTGCAGGCGAGACATTTACATCGATTCTCTATATAGCTTATAAATACGTATCTACACAGTATGTGGTACAAAAATACTAGAGCTGTCAGTGGGGATTTCAAAATAAAAGCACATGTAGCTGTGGCACTGCTCAGGCACAGATTGTGATGATGATGAGGAGCAGATCTTCCTCGTGGCGTGAGAACAGGCGGGGGCGGGGCCAGCGTGTGGTTGGACGCTTGTACGGAGGCCCAACAGGGACAAAACTATGATGCCCCGCCCCAGGACCCCAGAGTGGGCGGGGCCTGTGGCTGCTGCTTGTATTTGGCATCAGAAGTCCGACTGGCCAGTGCCGCCGCGGTCCTGTTCGACTTTAAGGCAACTTTTCTCTGTGGCGAGTTTAATAAAAGCTTCTGTTAAAAATGTACAAATTACAAACTCTATGGCATCATCATCATCATCATCAGTATAGAAAATATATAAATATGATTTCTCTGTTCTGTACAAATGTTCTGCAGCTCGCCGTCCTCCGCTTCCCTTTTAGCGCCGCCGCCGCAGTCTCTTCCCGTTTCTCTTTTCTCCTTGGATATCAACAATTGTTATATACAGGGAGGGGGCGGGGCTTGGCTCACGAGGAGTCCGTGCATGGGGACGGCGGCGGCGGGTACAGGTGGTGGGAGTAGCTGCGCTCCGTGTACGGCGACGGCGGGCAGCTTTCGCAGTTCTCTTCCGCTGACAGGTACTGGCTGCGCGGCGTGGGCGGCGGTGGGAACGGCTCCGAGTCGTAGTTGAGGTCGCTGGTGTAGCCCTTCGCGGCGGATTTGAGCGGCCGGCGGCCCGGCGTGTAGTCGCTGTCGCAGACATCGGTGCTGCACGGCGTGGTGGGCGGGGCAAAGTGGCGGTAGGTGTAGGGCCGGTAGCTGGAAGGATGAAAACATCAGTTTATGTTCACCATCTATGGCAAGCTAATTTAACATAAAATCAGCTGACTTTCACGTTCTGAGCAGAAGGAAAAACAGCTGAAGATTTATTTAGTTTGAACGGATCAAATGCTTTTCAAGATGGCGTCACCGAGTGGCCAAGCATCTGTGATTAAGGCCCCATAGTGCTGGCATAGAGCTGCCCATACAGCTGCCAGCAGAAGGCGAAAAACGCGTGGAAGCGTTCAGATGAAATTCAGTAAGATTTTAAAAACATGTTAAGACAAGATCTGCATCTTATTAAACCCAAAATGTGTTCAGTTTTCAGTCAGAATGGCTGAAGCTGTGAGGAGAGAGCGAACAGATTTATGGGTCTTTAATAACCCAGGATCAGTCAGAGGACTGGATCTTTATATCGTAACGAGAAACTTTACAGTCATTTATCATCTCATTTACACTGTTCTAATAAGATTTTTCTCCTGAATTGATTTCCAACATCGGGCAGCAAAATGCTTCCATAAAAACTGCTTCATAAATCTGGAAATATTTAAGGAGCAAAAAGTGCTACTGTCGACAAGCTGGAAATGGAGCGCTTTCAAAAAATTGTTTCATTTCTCATTGACATTTTAAATTGTTTCATAAATTTGGGACGTTTTGACAGAATGATGATTCAAGATATCAAAGATGTTGTTTTCGCTGCAGACGTTATTTACACCTAAAAACGGCTTTAAGGTGCAAAAGCTGCTGCGGCAACAAACATTCTGGGCAGTTTGACTAGAAATAATAATTACTGCAGATATGAGTGACGTCATTCTGACTGGTCAAAACGTCAATTCAAGATATCAGCATAGAAAACTGGTCTAGATTAAAGTCATTCAGGATCTCTTTAATTTATCGAAGGGGAATTAAAAGGAATCACGACGAGTCAGAACTAAATCCAGAGTCATTATTTGTTTTTATTAGTTTAATCTGTTTCTAAAAATAAATTCCTGGCATCTCAAATTTGATAATCTTTAATAATCTGACATCATTTAGTCCGAATATAATCAGAAATCTGAATTAAAACTGCATGCCATAGCGGCCTGCCCTGATCCGTTTGGTGGTTCCGACCCGGCCCGCCAGTACCTGTAGGAGCGATGGGTGGAGGGGCTGTTGGAGGAGTAGCCGAACTCCAGGGTGTACTGGGAACGGACGGTGGCAGGAGACGGCGGCGGGTTCAGGATCTGGAAGACAGACAGCATGAGGCCAGAACCAGAACCAGAACCAGAACCGGACGGGTCGGGTCTCACCGGGGGGAAGTAGGTGCCCTTGGTGCTGGAAGAGCTGCTGGACGACGCTCCGGTGACGTGGGCGCGGTCGTACGGAGGGCCGCTGCTGCCGCCCATGATGCTCAGGGAGCCAATCACAGACTTCCCTCTGGACATACCTGCAGACACACAGCGGGTCAGAACCGGGCCAGAACCGGCCCCGCCCCCCGGTGAGACCCGTCTCACCTGGCAGCGAGCTGGACAGCGACCCGGGGTGCGGCACGTATCCGAGCGGCACCGAGGGCTGGCCGTGGACCACGAAGTCGTTGGCGACCGTCTCGCCGTCGTCCTTCATGTGGGGGCAGAGGACGCGCTGGCACACGAAGTAGATGGCGCCCACCACGAACAGCGCCATCACCACGGCAACGATGGAGCTGATGGTGCTGTTGGTCGGCGCCGGCAGCTCCGGCGGATCTGTAACTACAGGAGAGCGTTGGCACATAGAGACCACCAGAACCGGTCAGGACCGGGTCAGAGTAGAGTCAGATCGGGGTCAGAGTCAGGTCAGGACCGGGTCAGAACCAGACTCACAGCAGTCCATCTCATCAGAGTTGTCGCTGCAGTCCGTGTTGTGGTCGCACTTCTTGTGGATCCCGATGCACTGGCTGTTGGCGCAGGAGAACTGGTCCGCCGGACACCGGACTGGAAACAGAACCAGAACACATCAGAACCAGAACTGGGAGACATTCCCACATCTGGGATAAAGGTTCAGACATGTCAGTTTCTATTGAGGTTTCTTCCTGCTTTTGCTTCTGGACTGGTTTCGGCCCAGTTTTAGACTGGACTGACGGTTGTATAGTTGAGAACTGGCTTCATGGCCTCTGGATCTGGACTGGACCTGGATCACCTTCACACTTGTTCTCGTCGGACCCGTCCTGGCAGTTGACCTCCCCGTTGCAGCGCTCGCTCTGCCCCACGCACTGCCGGCTGTCGCACTGGAACTCGGACTCGGAGCAGACGGGACATTCCTTCTCGTCGCTGTGGTCGTCGCACTCGGCGAAGCCGTCGCACCTCCAGGTGTTGGGGATGCAGTCCACCTCTCCGGAGACGCAGGCGAACTGGTCAGGTGAGCAGGTGGGCGGTTCTGAGGGGAGAGAGAGGACGGGTCAACGGGTCGCCACCGGCGGCGTGGCGGCGGAGCGTCGGACTCACCTCCGCAGGTGAGCTCGTCAGACAGCAGCACCAGGTGGACGGGGCAGGAGCAGCGCGTGGTTCCGTCGCCCTTCACGATGCAGATGTGGGAGCAGCCGCCGTTGTCCCGGGTGCACGGATGGTTTCCTGCAGGAGGAAACAGGAAGTTAGAGCTGAATCCAGATAAACCAGAACTCAGGTTTGTCTTGTTTGCTTCTGGACTGGCTTTAGCTTTGGTCTAGATTGGTGTAAGATCATTTCAGCTAGAAAACTATTCAAAAACTGTTGTTATTCTGGTCTAGACTGGCTCTAGCCTCAGTTTTGAAGGTCCTGAAGTTTCAGACATTTCAGGCTTTTCTGTCGTTTTTGTGGTGGACTGGTCTAAGATTGACTGTGGAAATGTTTTCAGTCTAAAACCGGTTTTTAAACTGATTCTGGCCTCAGTTTGGGACTGGACTAGTTTTCAGTTGGGAACTGGTTTTGGGTTTGAGACGTCTTTAGAGAGTTTAATTTAGACTCAGGTTTTGAATTTGAGGATGTTTTATCTGGGCTTGGTTCTGGACAGTCTTAGACTAATTTTGGACACTTAGCTGGTAGGTCAGTCTACGTTCCGCTAGCGGCGGTGGACTCACTGTACTCGTGCATGTCAATCTCGTGCACGGCGTGGATGTCGCTCAGGTAGGCGACCCGCGCCTGCACCTTGGTGCGGCCCTCCCTCGTCGTCTTGTCGATGCGTTCGATCATCTGCTGCTGCTTGTCGATCCAGTACAGGTGGTTCCCGAACACCGTCAGGCCCACTGGCTGCAGGATGTTTGAGTCCGCGATCACGATCCGATTGGCTCCTGCAGTGCTCACCAAAATAAAAGCACGAGGGAGAAAAAAACAAGGGCGAGAACTTCAGGAACAAAGGCAACAAAACGGGAGAGGAGGCAGGAGGGAGAAGGGGGACACACCATTAAACACACCTTTAACCTGAGCTCAGAATGATCAGAATGAGCTTTCTTATATTTCTGGGTTAAAGTTTAGTATTCTTTTGTTCAGTTTTTCTTTGCTTTTTCAGCATTCTTTGACTTCTGTATGGAAAGGTTAGAAATGACAGAAATAAGTATTTTATTGATCCAGTCATCCTCTTCACTCGTGGAGGAAACCCATAGCCTCTCCAGCTTTAGAGAACATCAGGATTCATGTTCCTCTGACAGAACTTGGAAATAAATGCAGAAGTTTCTCATTTTAATGAGATTAAAAAACCTGCGAGATTTATATCTCAACACCAAAATATCTTCTTTTCTTTTAGTTTTTGTCTCGATGGACACACTACTGTTTCTCTGGATGGCCTGCAGGGGCCACCAACTGAAACTAAAATATCAAATTTATCACAGTGAGTCTTCAGAAGTTTCTACATCTAAGCTTTTTTCACCATCTGGAAGGGTGAAAGGTCATGGTTTCCAGCAGGCTGAATGGTAGCAGCAGGTAAGTCCAGGATGGCTTCCTGTCGGGTTCTGCTTCCTGTCAGATTCTGCTTCTGGTCGGGTCCTGCTTCCTGTCAGATTCTGCTTCCGGTCGGGAACTGTTTCCTGTCAGATTCTGCTTCCGGTCAGGTCTTTAACAGAACTCACCTGACAGGTCGCTGCTCTCAATGCGGCGCAGATCTGAGTCAACCCAGAACAGCTTCCCCGCCTCGTTGTCCACAGCCAGCGCCACGGGTTTTCCCAGGTTGCTGAAGAACAGAACCTCGCGCTCCGTCCCATCCAGCGCCGCCCGCTCAATCTTGGGTGAGCGGTCCTGCAGGTTGGTGAAGTACATGTACCTGCGGAACAGGTTCTGCTAGCGTGAGTGACCTGTTTGTTAGCGCCCAGTGCTAACACCCATTGCTAACAAACAGGTCACTTATACAGGTTCTGTTAGCACAGACCCAGGTCCCAGCACTGGGAGAACCACTTGGACTCACCCTCTCTCTGGATTCACCACGATGGCCCGCGGCTTGTCGTGCTCGCCCCGTAGAACCACGCCGACCCGACTGCCATCCGTCCGGGTCACATTGATGACGTTGGTCACCTCGCTGGTCCAGTAGATGAAGCGGCTGAAGATGTCGATGCTGAGATCAAAGGGTCCGAGAAGGGAGCTGGACACCACCGTCACACTCTAACAGAACCAGAACCAGACAGAACACGGCCAACTGGATCAGGACCTTCCAATATATTAGTGTTAGCTTCTGTGCTGTTCATTTTCATTATTTACTTTTTCTCTTCATCAGCTACTTATTCTTAGCTGATAATCAGTTGTGAAAACTGCTGTGGTTTATTTAAAGCTAATGTTGCTCTTGTTAGCATAACGCTAATGTTAATCCATACAAACCCTTCCCGCTTCTGCAGGGCTCGTTGGGTCTCCAACCTCCCTAAACTAACCATCAGAACCCAAAGGAGTTGGATCAAAGTCAATTCGGTCGGGTCAGCCTCCCCACCTGGTTGCCATCCTCCTGGGCGCGGCGAATGACGTTCTGCTTGGAGTCGATCCAGTACAGCTGCTTGTCCAGCGGGTCGTAGTCAATGGCCCGGACGTTCTTCAGGTTCTGAATGGGCAGGACAATGTCGGGGCTCTGCTGCTCGTCGATCACCATGCGGTTGATGGCCGCCTTCTGACTGAACAGCAGGAACGCCGTGGGAGCTGCAGGTGACAAACAGACGGATCAGAGACCTGAGCAAAACCCGTCCAGGTCGCGGCCGAGTCCGGGTGGCTCACCGCTGCACGTCTTGTTGTCGCGATTGAGGGAGAAGTGGGCGGGGCATCCGCAGACGAAACCGCTGGGCACGGCGAGGCACAGGTGGGAGCAGTGGCCATTGGTAGAGGCACAGGCATTCCAGCCGGCCTGCCGGGACGAGTGGAACACCAGGATGTCCATCACGTAGTCCAGGTGGCCCTGGATCAGGGTCCGGTTCTGGCCGCTTGTCTTGTTGGCCCGCTCGATGCTGCGGTGGCTCCAGTCCGTCCAGTAGATGTAGTCCTGGTACTGGGTGAGGCCAAAGGGATGAGGCAGGTCGTCAGCAATTACCTCTCGCTCCTTGCCTGCAAGACGAGAAATCGGAAAAATCATGACGAAAGCATAACCAGAACCAGACCAAGACCGGGTTCGATTGGTAACAGCCGGTTTTTGTTCACACAGAGCGTTATGAGTCCAAGACTAGGCAATGAAAATGGTCCACAAGTCTTAAACCCCCAAAACATGTCCAGTACCTGTCCAAAACCAGTTCAAAATCAACACTGGGACCACAGGCATGTAATCATTCCAAAACCAGATCAATACCAGTTTGAACCGATTAAAAAAAATGTCGAATACTTTCTACATTCAAGACTAAAACCACCAGATTTAAACCAGTCCAACACCAGTCTGATACCAGTCCAGACCCACCAAAAACCAGTCCAGTACCTTCCAGAACCAATACTAAAACCACTGGCTATAATCCATCCAAAGCTAGTCTGAAACCAGTCCAGAACCAAACTGGGTCCAATGGTACGTTTCATTCACACAGAACATTATGAGCCAAACACTAGGCTAAGGTAAATGGAAAAAGGTCTGAAAACGGTTCAGAACCTTTTAGAACACAGTATCTAGGCCTTCCAAAGCTAGTCAGAAATCAGTTCAGAACCAAACTGGGTTCAATCGGTTCTGTGAAAATCAGCCAGTTTCTATTCACACAGACGAGTCCGAGAACCAGTTTAAAACCTGCCCAGTACATTCCAGAATCCAGACTAAGCAGCTGAATCCAAAAACCCGACTGCAGCTGCAGAACCTGATACGAGTTCTCTGAAGGTCCAACCCAGGTGAGCTACATAGACTTTACCAGAACCTTAACCGTACCCAGTAGCGGGTTCCCCTGGTTCAGCCCGGGGCAGCACCTGCTGGGTTTGGACCCCGGGCTTCTGGAGGATCTGTCCAGGTTCTGCGGGTTCTTACCCAGCATGTTGGAGGACTCGATGAGCGTGGTGTCCAGGTCGGCCCAGTACAGGCGCCGCTCAGCGTAGTCGATGGTGAGTCCGTTGGCCCTGCCCACGTTCGACACCAGCGTGATGCGGCCGGTTCCATCCATGGCAGCCCGGTCGATCTTGGGCTTGCCCCCCCACTCGGTCCAGTACATGTACCTGCAGGGATGGAAAGGGTCAAAACGGAACCGGGTCGGAACAGGACCTGGCTCAGGAGAAGCGGAGCCTCACCCCTCAGCCGGGTCCAGCGCCAGGGCCCGCGGGCTGTCCAGGTCCTTCCAGACCAGAACCTGGCGGTGCTGCCCATCCAGCTTGGCCACCTCAATGCGGTTGGTTCCGGTGTCGGCCCAGTACAGGTTCTTGCCCAGCCAGTCCACCGCCATGCCTTCTGGGTAATCCAGGCCGAACTGGACCACGTGCTCCAGCGCGCTGCCGTTCATGAAGGCCCGGCTGATGGTCTGCAGAACCAGAGGGCGGACAGGTTAGAGGCCAGTTCCGGCGGTTCTGGAGGTTCGGGCCGGGCCCGGACCCACCTTGAGCGTGATGTCGGTCCAGTAGATGCGGTTGTCGGTGATGTCGAAGTCGAGGGCGGAGGCCTCCTTGACACCGGTGAGCGGGATGGCCACGTTGTTGCTGTTGGTCTCCAGGGAGATGCGGCGGATGTCGGTGTGGCGCGAGAACAGCAGGAAGGCCTCCGGGACGATGCAGCTCTGCAGGTCGCCCAGCAGCTCCAGGCCGTTCGGGCAGCCGCACCGCACGCCGTGAGGCGTGTGCAGGCACAGGTGGCTGCAGCCACCGTTACTGTCAGCGCACGGGTTGGTCCCTGCACAGGCACAACCACAGTCACAACCAGAACCGGAACAAAAATTACAAAACCAGAACCAGAACAGACCCTTCCCCGTTTCTCTCTGCTACGCTGCAGTTAGCATGCTTGTGGCTAGTTGGCATGGCAGAAACAGTTTTCCTGTCACAGTAAACTGTTTCTCCACCATTATCACATTTAGCATGATGATTGACAGCAAGAAGCCCCGCCTCTTGGCTCTGATTGGCTGTTTTTGGTTCATTTCGTCAAGTAGCAGCTCAGGGAGATCCATCCGACTCAAACAGTTTGAACAAACGTAAAAACGTTTTCTTTAATAAATGTTACAAAGCTAGGACAGAAGTTCATAAACAAAAATAAAAAAAATACAGCAAAAAAACAACAACCATGTGGCAATAAGATTGCTTATTTCAGCGCTCTAGTGTCATAAAAATGTTCACTGAAACAGGAAGTCTATAAGAAGGTTCAAAGGTCACAGTGCTGACACTGTCCAATCACGTTAAGCTGCAGGTTAACGGAGAGAGGTGGAGCTGAAGTGGAGTTAAACTTTATTCACCTTTTTTCTGGAAACTGATATAATTCACATCAAATTAAACATATTTGAAGAGTATTGCCATTCTTCTTTCCCTACCACTAGGTGGTGCTAATGCACACCAAATAGCTGTTTGCCAACAGCTATTAAAGTCAAGAAGAAGAAGGGAAGAAAAGAAAGATGCTGCTTCCGGGCTAGGCCCCACCCCCTTGTGACACCAGCAGACTCACCGGCGGCGCGGTGCAGGTGCGTGGCCTTCAGGCCCATGAGGTCGGGCAGCTGGTCGATGATGAACTCGCGCTCGGCGGTGCGTTTGTGGACGCGCTCGATGCTGCGACGCTGCCAGTCCGTCCAGTAGACGAAGTCGCCCAGCAGGCTGAAGCCAAAGATGTGGGGAAGTTTGTCCTCCACCAGCACCCGTCGGCCCGTCCCGTTCATGTTCATCACCTGCACACACACACACACACACACACACACAACATAGAATTAAAAAAACAACAGATTTAAATCCAGCCAATTATTACGATTTTAGTTTTTTGTGCCAAATTCATCACAGATCCAAAACTTTTCCACATCTGCTGCATTAAAAAACTTCTAGTTTTTAAATCCCTTTGGGATTGATTTAAGAAATTTATTCTGTTATAAAAACAGAATTTGTGTCACTTTCTTTTAAAACATTTGCTATATTTAGCAAAATTTAATAAATTAGATGAAAGCTGATTTGAGTTCAGTGAAGTCGCTTTTTGGAAAAGTTTGGTTATAAATCATGAAGATTTTCTGTCAAACATTTTCCACTGTTAGGAAATGATGTGGGTTAAAATTTAGATTTAAACAAATGGAATCGTTCTTGAACTGCAGCTGCACCACAAATGGCCCCTGAACCACACTTTGGACACCGCAGCTCTGAAGTAAAAACCGACCGGATTCAGGATTAACATTCACCTAAAGGAGAATATTAAGATTAAAAACCAGCCGTCTTCTGGCTGGGCAGTGGCAGCATCATGCTGAGGACACAACAACCATCTGAAACCAGCAGCTGGACGGTTCCAGGTCTGACCCAATTGGACTGTCCAACAGAACCAGGTGACCTCTGTTCCTCATGAGGTCACCACCTCATAATAACCTGGAATAACCTGGAATAATCTGATCAAGAAGATAAAACCTGGTTCTGATCCGGTTCTGATAATCCTTCTGGAAACAGGAGGAATGTGTGGGTCGGCGGCGTGGAGCGTTGTGATTGGCTGCCGCCAGGTCGGCCCTCTTCTTCCTCCTCCTCTTCCTCAGTCTGGCAGTATAAATAAGGAATTTCCATCGGGAACGCCGGACCCAGCCGGCCGGATCGGACCGCAGCGCGGTTCTAAACAGAGCTGACCACAGCTGGAGAGCCGGGCCACAATCAGATCCAGATGTGGTTCTGAGCGGGCAGGGGAGCTGAACGGAACGGACCGGTTCTGATCGGATATATGATCCAGATCAGTCTGGGTCTTCAAAGCTTCCAGTCTCAATGCCTGGTTTCTCCCCGCAGGTATCCAACTCTGGACCAGAACCAGAACCAACAGGAAACTTTTACAGCTTTTTCATTTTTAATCCAGATCAGAAATGATTCTGAACTTCTGACTGATCCGTCATGGATCCTGAAGTTTCCAGATTTCTCCCAGAAGTCTTTGCAAATGGCTCTTTGTTTTCCAGCTCATCCATCTTTTCTCTGGGCCTTACAGAACCGGGTCTGACCGGTCCAGAACACCTGGTTCTGATTGGAAGGGAACTCCTCACTCTGATTGGCTGTTAGCAGTTAAACGTGATTGGTAGACGGACTCACCATGTTGTTATCTTTGGTCCTAAAGAGGAAGAATCTGGAGTTATAGATCTAGAGCTATAGATGCAGAGTCAGCACAGGTTCAGTTCTTCCATCTGGAAACTAGAGATCAGGCTGACCTCTGACCTCTGCCCTGACCCTTCGGTTCCTCAGTGGTCCTTCCAGCAGCTGCAGGACATTCAGGCCCAGAGGACTAAAGTCTCCGACCAGAGAAACTCATCCAGGATTTAGTGGCTCTGATTCCTGCAGCAGGTCAGACTGAGACCAGAAGCTGCAGCTGGAGATCTGACTAGAACCAGGAGGGTAGAGACACCACCTGGTTCTACACCACCTGGTTCTACACCACATGGTTCTACACCACCTGGTTCTACGCCGCCCGGTTCTACGCCGCCCGGTTCTACGCCGCCCGGTTCTACACCACCCGGATCTACACCACCCGGTTCTACACCACCCGGTTCTACACCACCCGGTTCTACGCCACCCGGTTCTACGCCACCCGGTTCTACACCACCCGGTTCTACACCACCCGGTTCTACACCACCCGGTTCTACGCCACCCGGTTCTACACCACCCGGTTCTACACCACCCGGTTCT